ATACTTTATACAGTTTATACTTTATACAGTTTATACTTTATGCGTTTATACTTTATATAGTTTATACTTTATATAGTTTATACTTTATGCGTTTATACTTTATATAGTTTATACTTTATACAGTTTATACTTTATATAGTTTATACTTTATGCGTTTATACTTTATATAGTTTATACTTTATACAGTTTATACTTTATGCATTTTATACTTTATACAGTTTATACTTTATATAGTTTATACTTTATACAGTTTATACTTTATACAGTTTATACTTTATATAGTTTATACTTTATATAGTTTATACTTTATGCGTTTATACTTTATACAGTTTATACTTTATATAGTTTATACTTTATATAGTTTATACTTTATGCGTTTATACTTTATACAGTTTATACTTTATATAGTTTATACTTTATGCGTTTATACTTTATATAGTTTATACTTTATATAGTTTATACTTTATGCGTTTATACTTTATACAGTTTATACTTTATATAGTTTATACTTTATATAGTTTATACTTTATGCGTTTATACTTTATACAGTTTATACTTTATATAGTTTATACTTTATGCATTTTATACTTTATACAGTTTATACTTTATATAGTTTATACTTTATATAGTTTATACTTTATGCGTTTATACTTTATACAGTTTATACTTTATATAGTTTATACTTTATACAGTTTATACTTTATATAGTTTATACTTTATATAGTTTATACTTTATATAGTTTATACTTTATACAGTTTATACTTTATATAGTTTATACTTTATGCGTTTATACTTTATATAGTTTATACTTTATATAGTTTATACTTTATGCGTTTATACTTTATACAGTTTATACTTTATACAGTTTATACTTTATATAGTTTATACTTTATATAGTTTATACTTTATGCGTTTATACTTTATACAGTTTATACTTTATATAGTTTATACTTTATGCGTTTATACTTTATATAGTTTATACTTTATATAGTTTATACTTTATGCGTTTATACTTTATATAGTTTATACTTTATATAGTTTATACTTTATGCATTTTATACTTTATACAGTTTATACTTTATATAGTTCATACTTTATATAGTTTATACTTTATATAGTTTATACTTTATGCGTTTATACTTTATACAGTTTATACTTTATATAGTTTATACTTTATATAGTTTATACTTTATGCATTTTATACTTTATACAGTTTATACTTTATATAGTTTATACTTTATATAGTTTATACTTTATATAGTTTATACTTTATGCATTTTATACTTTATACAGTTTATACTTTATACAGTTTATACTTTATATAGTTTATACTTTATATAGTTTATACTTTATATAGTTTATACTTTATGCGTTTATACTTTATATAGTTTATACTTTATATAGTTTATACTTTATGCATTTTATACTTTATACAGTTTATACTTTATACAGTTTATACTTTATATAGTTTATACTTTATGCGTTTATACTTTATACAGTTTATACTTTATATAGTTTATACTTTATATAGTTTATACTTTATGCGTTTATACTTTATACAGTTTATACTTTATATAGTTTATACTTTATGCATTTTATACTTTATACAGTTTATACTTTATACAGTTTATACTTTATATAGTTTATACTTTATATAGTTTATACTTTATGCGTTTATACTTTATACAGTTTATACTTTATATAGTTTATACTTTATATAGTTTATACTTTATGTGTTTATACTTTATACAGTTTATACTTTATATAGTTTATACTTTATGCATTTTATACTTTATACATTTTATACTTTATACAGTTTATACTTTATATAGTTTATACTTTATATAGTTTATACTTTATGCGTTTATTCTTTATACAGTTTATACTTTATATAGTTTATACTTTATGCATTTTATACTTTATACAGTTTATACTTTATATAGTTTATACTTTATATAGTTTATACTTTATGCGTTTATACTTTATACAGTTTATACTTTATATAGTTTATACTTTATGCGTTTATACTTTATACAGTTTATACTTTATATAGTTTATACTTTATATAGTTTATACTTTATGCGTTTATACTTTATACAGTTTATACTTTATATAGTTTATACTTTATGCATTTTATACTTTATACAGTTTATACTTTATACAGTTTATACTTTATATAGTTTATACTTTATATAGTTTATACTTTATGCGTTTATACTTTATACAGTTTATACTTTATATAGTTTATACTTTATATAGTTTATACTTTATGCGTTTATACTTTATACAGTTTATACTTTATATAGTTTATACTTTATATAGTTTATACTTTATGCGTTTATACTTTATACAGTTTATACTTTATATAGTTTATACTTTATGCATTTTATACTTTATACAGTTTATACTTTATACAGTTTATACTTTATATAGTTTATACTTTATGTGTTTGTCGCTCGCGTTCAGCAGGGAGGAAGGGAAGTTGGTCCATATCGGGAGAAGCCAGATTCGTTGAGACTAATTAATTAATTTATTTATTAATTTATATGAGGTGCCGGACCGTTCCGGCCCACTTTAACCCCTGTGTGTGTGTGTGTGTGTGTTTGTGTGCAAAATACATGGAGAATGGATGGAGGAACAACGTCATTATTTACTCAACTCTGCTTTTTATCCCCCACTGGAAAACATACAGGTTTGTAAAGGTTAAATTATGACATTAAAACAAATGTAAGAAAATTGAATGAACCATTGATTTTAATAAGCTTGTTAGTAAAAATAACAAATAACATTTGTAAAGGTGTTTTTTAGAGAACGTAAGGGTTTAATATAATTTGCTGAACATGTTTCTGTCCCAGTGCTTTTACAGTCAATATTCTGATCATATATTTTCCCAAGCACATTTGACCTATTCTGAACTACATTAATTCAAATAATTACTCTTAAGATTGTATTCATGTATTGGTGATATGCAATTGTTACACATTCTTCTTTTTCACTGACACAGAAAAGACCAAATTATGAAATGTCCATAAGAAGGATGCGATACTCATGAATGTAAAAGTTAACCGCTGTTGAACTTTTTCTTCTTAATTGTAGGAACTCAGAAGTGAAGATCAGGAAACTTGGTTGTATATTCTTAGGCTAGATTCTTTATTTTTGTTGCATCACTGTAGTCTTCTTCGTCTAGAAACCTTAGCCAAGTCAAGTCTAACTAAAACAGTATACATTGTGTTGTTATACATTTCATGGGGAAGGGTTACATAGCGGTGGAGACACAAACAAAAGTGGAGAGGTGGAGAAACAAAGCAAATGTAAATGAATGAGACCCTAGAACTCCAAGACAAACGGTCTCAGTAATTAAAATAGCAGGTGTTCAAACTTGCTCTGCATGAGTTTTCACCCGGTGAGACGAGAAACAGGAAATGGCCTTCTCGTACTGAGACAGATCCCGCTGGGAACTCCTACCGTTTGCAGAGATTTCCTGGTCTCATCATTTTAGAAACTTTCTCTGTCTAAAATACTATTGTATTGGAAATCTAAATTAAACATGTTAATAAAATTTGTAATCCTACACCGCTCATTGGGTCTCATTCATGAAACATGCGTAAATATACGAGTAAATATGAGAGTGATTTGCGCGTAAAGACACCTTCCCGAAAACTCTTCTCCTGATTCACAAATACTTCGTAAACGTCAGATGTAATAGTGAAATGTGTGTGTGTGTGTGTTAATGAATTCCAACCAGTCGTAAATGGGATGCGCGTGCACGTTCATTCTCAATTACCATAAATCCCGCCCATTATATCCGACTGACATCTATATATAGGCGTATAATACCATGAATGCGAATGAAAAAGAAAGATTTCTCGGATGCAGAAATTTAAGTTTAATTATCAGAAGTTCATTCAAACCACCACATTTTATTTTCAAGCGTACATAGTGGCACATCAGGTCCTATAAAAAAGGAAGCTTGGCAGCATATTACAGATGCAGTTAATGGAGTTTCATCTGTTAATCGAACAGTCCCAGAAGTGAGAAGAAAATGGTTTGACATTAAAGGGATACTCCACTTTTTTTGGAAATAGGCTCATTTTACCACTCCCCCAGAGTTAAACAGTTCGGTTTTACCGTTTTCTAATCCATTCAGACGATTTTCTGATATTTAGAAGAATATCAGTAACCAGACAGTTTCTGGTCTCATTGACTTCCATAGTATATTTTTTTCCTACTATGGAAGTCAATGAGACCAGAAACGGTCTGCTCACAGATATTCTTCTAAATATCAGAAAATCGACTAAATGGATTAGAAAACGGTAAAACCCAACTGTTTAACTCTGGGGGAGTGGTAAAATGAGCCTATTTCCAAAAAAAGTGGAGTATCCCTTTAAGCTTGACAGCAAAAAACGAATTAGTTCACTTCGGAAAAATCGTATTCAAACTGGACAAGGACCGCCATCGATCACCAGATCTGCTATTACTTTCTCTCATAATAAAAGTACAAAGAAAAACCGTATGTAATTACTATATAATATTTTTTTTCAAAATGCTGTTTAAATATGTACCCATTGGTGAATTAAATGCAGCATGAGCAAAACGTTCGGATGTTAAGCGCACTATTTATGCGTGGCTGGGAGCAGGTGTAGATTTCTTGCGTAGCAACTAACATTTTGAAAATACGAACATTTTAATGAATCTGAAAATTTATACCAGAACGACTTTACACATGATTTACACACAAATTCGTTCTGCTCGTGTTTCATGAATGAGAACCATTGAGTCCCTGTTGACACGCTGAGAATTTCATTATCTGATGGACACGCCTTGATTTAGACATTTCTATAGTGTTGCGTCCTGAGTATTTCATCTTTTTTCATGAGGAATTTTGTCAAAAATGTAAGATCAGAACATGGAGTTGTTTTAAATATCTCTTATTTTTGTTCCAATCAATTTAAAATACAAAGAATATTAAAGACATATATTTTTCTGTCTTGCTGTTTAGTTTTCAGAAGCAGAAACCCACCAGAACCAGATCGGGATGCTGGAGTTCCTCTAAATAAAGGTACCAGTAATCCTGATATCTAGTGTTATGTACAGCTTATGTTGAAATATTTTTTTTTATTAAGACTTCAATGACACACTTAAACAGACTCATCTGGCTCTGAACATGCAACATTACGTACTTGATATTTTTGTGGTTTTGAATATGATGGTATGTACAGATGGTTTGGTCATTAAATGCCAGTTTTTCACATTTAGTTAAAACTGAATTTGGCCTCAAATGTCTAATTGACAAATTCTTGTTCTTTAGATTCATTTACAGAAACTTTGACAAGCGTGTGCGTCACCGTCAAACACAGCTGAATACCAATGAGGCTCTGCTCATTCTTGCTGTGTATGTTTGTGATGCTTTTTAAGATGGTGTGAGGTATAGTATGTGAATAAAAGGCATTTTCTGCAGTCAGTTGAAAAGCTGCCTCTGTAAGGATCTAAAATAATGGCAAGTGTTTTTTTAAACAAAAAAGCTTGATGAATTGCACTACTATGCGTGCATGGGCTGAAATTCAACATGGTTGCATATTTAAGCTGTGTCAATTCAAAACACTCACACGTTTTCATTATTAAAAATTAAATAATCCTTATTCACCTTTCAACAGGTGAAAATACAACCTATAATATTCAACTGGCAATTTTTGGTTCATTTTATTTCACTTTACAAATTTAGAAGATGATTTAATAACATAACTGTTTATGTCTGTGTTTCAGGACTCCGACAGACCGACACTAGTATTACAGCAAAATCAGCACTACAATCTGATTTAGAGAGATGCGAATGCGATATTGGTCAATATATCGACACTATCATTATTGTGGATCCAAGATGGCGGCTTAGAGAGTCAAGTTTATCAGACTGCGGACCAATGCACATTTAACAGAGGTGCCCATTTTTTTCTTTGGTGCTTGTTGCACTGTTTTCTATCTGCCTCAAAGAAACACTAAAATCTCAAGCAACCAGAGCTGAATCAAATGCTCAGGCTGAGGATAATGCTGCTGTTAGTTCAGATGCTAACACTAATGTTTCTTACCCCGCCCTGCGCCAGATTATCACGTTTCAAAACAGAGTTTTGCATCAACATAACAACTTGATGACTATGAAAAGCAAATCATTGAAACTGGGAGCTGAATCTCACTTAAATCGAGGAAAAACTGGAGGCGCTAGATGCCGTCAGGTGCTTGTGGGGCTCTGGCTGCAATTTTAGTTTATATGCTGTTGAATGTTTTAGGTTTGAACATTGTTACGAGTATAATGGAAATAACCAGAGATGGGCAGTATTTGAATGACAGAATACTCAAAAGTAATTAAATACGTATTTCAAATACATGTAATTTGTCATTTGTAATTAAATAATTTGAGGGACTGTAATTTGTATTTTAAATAGGGCTGGGCGATATATCGCACGATATTGTTATGTGCATCTAATCAGTAAAGCCGGTTCCTTGATTAGCAGTAAATCACCTTCACCTGCTTTCAGATGGACGATACGAGTGTTAAATTAACACTCAAGAGTGTTAAAGTTAATGAGATAATTAAGTGATTAATTTAGTGATGATTGAGCATTATTGAAGACACCTGATGATCACAAGCAGAATCACTGAAGGAGAAAATCACAAATTGTAAGTCACCGTTATGGAGATCAGTGTTTGCTTTAGTTGGGCTCTTGTGTAAATTGTGTACATTGTGTTTTACATTCTAAGGTTATGATAATATCAGCTTTTAAGCATAAGAGTCCTGCCAGTCATGTTCCTTTCCCAAGTTAAATGAGTTTTCAACGTTTTGTCGTTTAATAGTCCGGCTGATCGGATTATCATCAATGTATGTGAATAAGACTGTAATGCTGATGAGATCAGGACTGGAGAAATGGGCTGACTCCTGTTTTTGATTTACATGCCACCCCTACGTAATCCCTTCCCCTTGAAATGTATATAAACTACAACATATACTGCTTTAGTCAGACTTGATGACTGCAGCTGCCGACAGCTCGTGTTCTCAATACAGAATCATGATGAAGAGACAACCAAGTCTCCTGGTCTTCGCTTCTGTGTTTCCTACAGTAGACACTGTACTAATGAAATGCAACACGTGTGAAATGAATATAGAAAAATACTTGTCATCTATTTGATCTCTTATACGTCTTAACCTTTTTTGTGTGTAATGCTGGCAATATGAGTATGACCCAGATGTGTGTGTGCTCATATTGTCATATTTTGTTCTCTGTTTTGAATTAGACTCTCTGTTACACCCGACAAACACAGTATAGGTCAATGTGACGTCAGGAAGATGTTGGATTCAGTCAGACCAGACGTCATATTGTGGTTGAAAATGAAAGTCGGGTTCTGAACCAAACGTTTGTTTGACGTCAAGCTCCAACATCTGGCAGATGTTTAATTTTGGTTGCAATAAGCACCGCACTGCAAAAAAAGGGTGAAATGCAAGGTAGAACATTACATCTGTGAAAATCTCTGCAGATGAGGATTAAACAACTCCACAAACGGCATTGCTTTATTACTGCCAGACTTCTACACAAGTTTTTATTTACTGTTTTATAAAAAAGTAAAAGTTTGGTCCCCATTATGGTGATCAGTGTTTCATGTAGTCGGGTAGTTTGACTTGACTTGTTAACTTTAATTTTCAACTAATGAGGAACAACAAATTCCTCAACTAAAGCAAACACTGATCACAGTAATGGTGACATCAAATAAAACATTTTCAGCCAAACAAACAGTAACATCTAAATATCATTAAGAATAGACATCTGACAGAAAAAAAGTCAATCTGGTTAGTTCTAAGTGAAGCTGGTGATAAGTAGGCCACTGCCATGCTTTTTATTTTTTATTTTTTTGTGGTGTTTATTCCAACCAGAATTTGAGATTGACGTCTGACCGATGTCTGAGTCTACATCCTGTGTCTGACATGTTTTGTGTGTTTAAGCCGTTTGTATTTACGCTTGTTGCGGTGTTCATGTTCAGCCGCTCTGACTTGTTTTAATATTTGTGTATTTTTACTGGCAAAGTTGCAATAACTTGTTGAGAATAGGAAGGAAACACTCTTAAAAAAACATTTAAACTGTTAAAAAATGTTTGTTTTTTTTGTAATGAAGATTTAAAAAAAATAAAATAAAATAAAACAATGAGGGTTGTCTTGTCTGTGTAAGACTGGCTAAAACTGCTACGACGGATAGAAGTGGGGTTATGTGTGTATACATACTGTCAAAAGAAAAAGAAGGTTCCCAAAAGCTCTGCATGCGCCCCTGAGGCTATCAGACGACCCGACCTCATTATGCCTAAACAACACAGAGTCTCTCAAACACAGCAGATCCCTCTTCCGAACTGCAGACGACTGAAGACTTCAGAGTAGCTCCACAAACCATATTGTAAGAGCCATTTTAATGCAATCATATATTTGTCCACTGGGTGGCGCTCTGACAGTGGTGTATTGGGAGCACATGGGTAACTAAACAGGTGGAATCCCATGCTCAAGTGCTTAATGGTGCTTTATATAAATAAATAAATTATATAATATATAATATATGCTTCACTGTGAACTGCAGAGAATGAGACGCCACAAGAAGCTAATTAGAAGCCACGTTTATTATTTCGAGCACAATAAATGTTTGCTTCTTACATCTGTGTTCATGGGGTTTATACGTGTTAATAACTTGCTCACTCCTATTACCAATACCAGCTGTTACAATACAATTTCTGGCAATCTGTTGAAGGTAAAATTGTTTATTATCAGTTTAATATGTTCTGTAATAACCCTGATTTTCCTCCAGGTGTCAGTGATGTATGCATTAGACAGTGCGCTTTCACACAAAATATAGAATCTATGGTGAAATATTAATAAATAATAGCTACAAACAATTAATAAAACATCTATCCAAACCTGCAAGACTTTCGGTCATCTTCAAAACACAAATGAAGATATTTTTGATTAAATCTGAGATTTCTGTTCCTCCATTGACAGTCTACGCAAATCAAATCCCGGAACGATAATACTTAAAGTATTAAGGATTAAAGTAACCCATACGACTGCAGTGGTTTAATCTAAAGTTTATCATTAAGTGTCGAGTGCTTTGTTTGCTGTGTGATGGAGATGACAGTTGTAGATATTCATGATTACTCAAATTGAGTTTGGTGGTTATTATTATTATTTTTTTAAATGTAAATCTGCTTTGAAGACTGTATACTGTATAAAATGCTATAAATAAAACTTTATTGAAGCGCTCAAATACATGTGTGTGTGTGTGTGCGCAAGTTAGTGTGTTTCAGTTATACTTGTGTCTGTCAGTGTTTTATCTCCATGGCAACCACAGTTTAAACGCCAGCTCTGCTCAGCAGTGAAACCACTTCCTGTTGGCGTTTCATCGAGCGATTTCTCAACATGACATCTGTGTGTGGCTTTAGAGAGAGATACATCTCGAAGTGTCCGGCGACTGGGACTGTTGTTCCATTTCCTGTTGCTGACGCAGGTCAAAGGTCGTTCAATTGTCCACAAATCACCTTTTGGCTCCAGTCAGTAGCAGTGAAGTGAGGAATGGTTACAGTAGAGCTCATGACAGCGAATCTGAAGAAGAAGAGAAGCGTGTGAGTTGGTGTATCGAAATCTCCGTGGCTTTGTGTGTGGGTTTATTGTCATTTCTGACCTGTTTGAGACGAGACGAGTGTCTGCAGAAACCACAGTGAACATTTCACACAGTCATCATGACAAACACTCAACACACACACATACTTGAGTCTGTTATACAAAAACATTTTCATGTTTATTATGCAAATGAAGCCGGCGAATCTTAACAATGCTGATCAACCCTCATGGTCTTGATTTTTAACCAGCATAAATCATGACTGTGTTTTCCACTTGTAGGCGGCTGTGAGATCCTACGCCACCTTCGTGGAAACAGCAATAAGTACACAGAAACAGTGCTAGAAAGTATAGTACAAGTGTGTGAAGGAGCTATAATCAGCAGGACACAAGTAGACAAAGTTTGTAGACAAAAGACGCTATAGTTTTCATTCTACAACCCAGTCGACATTTCAGTGTTTATTTACAATATAGCACAGGTCATCTGTTAATCTGGAAAGCATTTGCTGTGTAAAACATCTGATAAACGTCTTAAAAAGCAGTTTTACGTGCTAAATCATAAACATCTTAAAGTCATCTTCTGAATGTCTATGTCATCTAACAGGAAACGTCCGAGAGACGTAGACGAGCAAACGCTCTCAAAATAAAATGCATAGCCGTCTCAGAGACTTGTGCTGACTCAATTGAATTGTTTTATTTGTGGCATATTGGATCAGCGTTGATGCCGCAACATCAACGTCTTGAAACAAACTTCGTAAAGATCTTGATAATTTCAGTGTCTTTTAAACAAAATTAGGCTATGCTTAATTCATGCAAAAAGCTTTAAAGTAATAACACAACACATAACGCTTTCAATATTGTTTTTGCTAAACGTTTTACCAGCATTTAGCGCTTTAAATGCTGTTTCAACGTTTTTATTTTTAAAAAACTAACGTTAATAGATGTTATTTCAATGTTGAGGATCGATCATGTGTTTTACTTTCATTTTAGTAGGTTTTTTTTCATTAATGGGTAGACTAGTTTTTGGGTTAGGCTATAGTACTTATTTATAAAGCATGTCAAAGTTTGTTTGTAGGATGTCCTCATTTCAATATCTAAACGCACACAACACGCACACACATCCGTGAAGCGCGCGCTCATGTGGGTGTTTGCGGGCTCGTGCACAACTGCCGTGTTATTAATAGAGTTCGTCTTAATGACGGGAATTTAGATCTCTAAATGAAGTTCACCATGGCGTTATACATCGGAGTTTAATTTTAAAACCATCTGTGAAACTTTGGAGGAGATTCGTCTGCGCTCGTTAAAAACGGTAAATGTAATTCTGATTCATAAATTAATGCATTTAAACAGGCACCGCTGTGGGCAATATCAAATCATCTGCCGAATTAATACATGTAGCCTATATGTTTTTCAATGTGCTTCACAAATAGGTTAGGCTACAGTACACTGTATAACGGTCTCACCAGAAAAAAAACGTGGGCTATAAAACTCGGAACAACATTTTAAAGAGAGATTATTCTGCAAATATAAGGCATTCAACTTCCGAAGATTTGTTTACAATCAACCGAATTTCGCTTTATAACATGATTTAGATTCAGACATGACAATATGCCACAAAACACGTTTATTTCATCTCGTAGGATGATGATGATGATAATAATATAAAGATATTATATACTACTCACTATTTGGTCGGAATGTGAAGTAATACTGTATGTTTGACTGTAAAAGTAGGAAGAGAGTGAGAAAAAGAGGAAGATGATAATCATCATGAGCTTTGCAGAAATAATCAGATAAACACTTTTAAAAACGTGTGAAACAGTGAAGCAGTTCCTCTTTGATTATGTGAAGAACTAGACTGATGAAGATGATGATGAAGTTTCAATGTAATAGGTCTACGTAAAGTCATAATTTTGATATAAAAAGCCATAATTTTTGGCAAAGAAGTTAAAAGTGTGACATGTCGAGTCGAACTTCTCTCTTAAAAAGTGGAAATGATGACATACTAACTCAGCATTTAGACTTTCGAGACGTTTCGACTTCTCATCTCATAACCATGACTTAGTCATAGATTTTTCGTTCTATTAATGTGCATGACATAATGATGATGTCATCTGGTGTGATGTCAGAGTTGTGATGCGCCGCCCTAGAAGAGGCGTTCCTGATTAATGTGTATGATTATGATGTCATCCGGTGTGCAGTGATGTCAGAGTTGTGATGCTCCGCCCCAGAGGAGGCGTTCCTGATTAATGTGTATGATTATGATGATGATGATGATGTCATCCGGTGTGCAGTGATGGCAGAGTTGTGATGCTCCGCCCCTAGAGGAGGCGTTCCTGATTAATGTGTATGATTATGATGATGATGATGTCATCCGGTGAGATGTCAGAGTTGTGATGCGCTGCCCTAGAAGAGGCGTTCGTGATTAATGTGTATGATTATGATTATGATGATGTCATCCGGTGTGCAGTGATGTCAGAGTTGTGATGCTCCGCCCCAGAGGAGGCGTTCGTGATTAATGTGTATGATTATGATGATGATGATGATGTCATTCGGTGTGCAGTGATGTCAGAGCTGTGATGGCTCCGCCCCAGAGGAGGCGTTCCTTCGGCCCAGTCTCCCCCAAACGCATCTACAGGAGTCTGTCCGTCAAGCTGAGGGGCGGAGCTTCCAACACTGAGGCGGAGCACTCTGATTGGAGGAGACGGCGGAGCAAAGGACCAGCTGATGTAATAACTGCACACACACACACAGACACTCACACACATAGAGTATTAATATAGATGTCATGATGTTTACATGAGTGTGTGTGTGTAGTACGCATGTCTGTGGGACGCTCTGGAGAGTGAAGACACCCTGGCCGTGCAGCACCTGTTGTCCAGAGAGAGAGAGCGAGAGACGGACGGGCGAGTGAATGCCGTCACTGAGTTCGGCCTGGTGCCGCTGGACGTGGCCGCTCTTACCCACAATGCCTCACTGCTGAAGGTGCTGGTGAAGGCCGGAGCAAAACACAACCCCAACTGTAAGTAACTCACTCACTCATACACACACACACACACACTTTGACACTTCAGTGTGTTGATGAAGTATAAACGCCTCTCGCCGCCCCGCCGCAGTGAGCTCTGCCTCTGATTGGTCGCTGAAGCTGGATGAGCTGGTGTCATTGGCTGAGAAGAAGCTGGAGGAGGGGAGGGCGGAGCTTCAGCTCAAAGAGAAGGCGGAGCTTCAGTCGCACGAAGACGCGCAGAAGAGCGTCGAAGTCTGGACGCAACGCTGTGAACTTTACCATCGCATGAGGGAGAATTTCCACTCGACAGGTACGAACACACACACACTCACACACTCACACTCAGATGTCATGTGACCCAAGTGTGTGTCCCTCAGCTCCTCCTGGTCCTCCCGCTAGCGCCGCTCTGCTGGTGACGGGCGACGGCTGTGTGTGTGTGCGTGTCAGAGAGCCCTGCGGTCACACACACGGCCTCATCACCAGATACAGAGGTGAGATCATCATCATCACACTGTTCCCTGATGATGTCATCACTGACCCGTCCCTCTGTGTGTGTGTGTGTGTAGTTGAATGGAGCACTTCCGCTGGTTTCTCTCCTCTGTGTGGAAGAGGATTCATCAGTGACAGCAGAAACACAGAGTTCAGCATCACCGGACTGCAGACTGTAAGACACACACACTCATACACTCATGGCTATATGATACACACAGACTCTGACTGGTGTGTGTGTGTGTAGGGTGTGCAGTATTACGTGCGGGTCAGTGCGTATAACATCAAAGGCTGGGGTGTGTATGTGAGCAGCAGCCCGACGAGTGTCGCCCCCTCCAGTGAGTACTGAGAACTGCACACTTATTATCAGAGTTATTACTAAACTAACACTATCATACAAAACCAGATGCTTAAGGCCGGATTCACATATAGCGCCTAAAAACGCGTAGAAAACGCTGGGCGCGCCACATTCTCCATTTTCCAAAGCGCCAGGGCGGTTGCGCTTCAGTTGGTTGTTGTCACATGACCTATTGTGTGCGTATGGTACGCTTGCGGTATTCTGAAAAGTTGAGATGTTTTTATCTCGACGCGCCGCGGACGCGCATGGAAAAAACGAGCGCGTCGCACCGCTTCCATTATGAGCGCGCATACATTTGAAATAACGAACTTGAGCGCGCAAAAGACGCGATATGTGAACCGGCCCTAAAGGGATACTCCACTTTTTTTGGGAAATAGGCTCATTTTACCACCCCCCCAGAGTCAAAAAGTTGGGTTTTACCGTTTTCGAATATATTCAGCCGATTTTCTGATATTTAGAAGAATATCAGTAACCAGACAGTTTCTGGTCTCATTGACTTCCATAGTATATTTTTTTCCTACTATGGAAGTCAATGAGACCAGAAACTGTCTGGATACCGATATTCTTCTAAATATCAGAAAATCGGATTTGAAAACGGTAAAACCCAACCCGATCTCACGGGAATTCGTACGAATTTTACGAGGTGGCTAATTCGTAACAATTCATACGACCTCACTCGTAGGAATTAGTACGATTTTGCTAAATCGTACATATTTTACGAATTAGCCAATTTGTATGAATTCGTACGAGTGACTTACCCCTGACCCCGCCCCTAAACATAACCGTCACGTGGGTTTGGGCAAATCGTACGACTTCGTACGAGTGAGGTCGTATGAATTAGTACGAATCAGCCACTTTTGAATCACTCGTACGAATTGGTCGTAGTAAAACCCAACTGTTTGACTCTAGGGGAGTGGTAAAATGAGTGTGTGATATAGAGTGTGTGATATAGTGTGTGTGTCGCCCCCTGCAGGCTGGAGCGAGTGTGTGATATGGTGAGTGTGTGATATAGCGAGTGTGTGATATAGTGTGTGTGTCGCCCCCTGCAGGCTGGAGCGAGTGTGTGATATGGTGAGTGTGTGATATAGCGAGTGTGTGATATAGTGTGTGTGTCGCCCCCTGCAGGCTGGAGCGAGTGTGTGATCTGGTGAGTGTGTGATATAGAGTGTATGATATAGTGTGTGTGTCGCCCCCTGCAGGCTGGAGCGAGTGTGTGATATGGTGAGTGTGTGATATAGCGAGTGTGTGATATAGAGTGTGTGTCGCCCCCTGCAGGCTGGAGCGAGTGTATCGGTGCGACGGTGAGACGCAGGGATCAGGGCTCAGCCGTCAGGAGGATCTCACAGCAGATCACAGAGCCGGAGCTCCTCACAGGTACACACACACACACAATAAATGAAGAAACACACGCCCCACTGATACTGATCAACCTGTGTGTGTGTGTGTGTGTCTCAGAGAACAGCAGCTCTGTGAGGAAAGTGTCTGTGTCTCGCGGCCTGAAGCAGCTCTTTCACTCCAGCAGGGCCGTTCGCCTGTCACAGAGGTGAGAAACACATCAACACCGAGCAGAAATCACATCAAATACACCATATATGATGTTCACAGATATAGATACAAGCCTACATCCCGTCAAATGCGGTTTCCGCACTGTAATGTCAGCCGTTCTCCACCAGGGGGTGTCAAAATGGCTTCAAACCATTTCAAATACAATAAAAGCTACATTAATATATTTCATATGTTATCATTAATTATTTTTTGTGTCTTTGAAGGATGAGGATTCTCAAAGTTTTGGAAAACCGTGATCCATTAGAAAGCCTCGTTTTAAAACTGATTTCCAGATCTGTGTGAACAAGGGTCATTTTGACAGCTTTGTCATTTGGAAAAACATTTCCATTTTCAGTGTATTGTTGTCCTGTAAAGAGTTGCTTCTCAAGCTTTTTGACTCCTAAAGTTCTTTCAGTGTGTTACTGTAATGTATATCTCTCTGTGTGTGTGTGTAGAGGCGTGTACTTGGCGTGTGTCTTCTATCAGAAGGAGTGTGTCCTGGTGTCATGTGACGAGCGGCTTCCTCTAGTGGAGGTTCAGTGTTGCTCCGCCTCCGTCACACAGGACTTCCTGTGGTTCACTAAGGTCAGCGTCACTCGTGTGTGTGTGTGTGTGTGCAGGCTGGAGCAAGTGTGTGATATAGTGAGTGTGTCGCCACCTGTCGGTCAGCATCACTCAGAGTGTGTGTTTCTCCTGTGTTTGTCCTGCATCTCACTGTGTGTGTGTCACAGCTGTCGTGCGCGTGGACGCAGGTGTCGTTCCTGCTGCAGGTGCTGTCGTCTTCATCACTCTCCTCGTCTTCATCGCTGCTGCAGAACAGACTGAGTTTCCTGCGGGCCGTCGCTCAGCTGCAGGTGCCGCTCCACACACTCCTCCACCATCACTCATGCAGTTTCTGCTCCGCTGTCATTTTAGGTCACTTTTGGTGAATTGAATTAAATTGAAATGTAACATTTAATAATACTTTTTTTGTTTATTTAGCTCATTAAATAAACCTTGAATTAAATCATTTTTATTATTTATAATTTTTAAATATTATATGGGTCTTTAGTTTTGTTACTTTTTATTTCAGTTTTAGTTGTTTTGTTTTGCTTTTTACTGTTTTTTTAAACACGTCTATAGAGTTTTATTAATTTATAAGTCTTTAAAGTTATATAAATTTTATTTCAGTTTTATTTTTTTTGTTTTGCTTTTTTACTGTTTTTTTAAATAAGTCTGTTTTGTTGTTTTTTAGTTTTTGTAAACAAGTCTATGAAGTTGCATACATTTTTGTTTTAGTTGTTTTGTTTAGCTTTTGACTGTTTTTTAGTTTTGTTTTGCTTTTTATAGTTTTTTAACAAGTATTTACATTTTGATTCATTTCTATTTAATTTTTAGTTGTTTTTAAGCTTGTTTACTGTTTTTAAACAAGTCTATAAAACGTAAATGTTTTTAATTTCAGTTTTAGTTGTTTTTTTCACTTTTTATAGTTTTGTTAACAAGTCTTTAAAGTTGTATTCATTTTATTTAATTTTTAGTTGTTTAGTTTTGCTTTTACTCTCTTTTTTTTCAAACACATCTATAAAGTTTTTTACATTTTTATTTCCGTTTTAGTTATTTTGGTTTGCTTTTTTACTGCTTTTTAAATAAGTATAAAGTTTTCTAAATTTTTATTTAAAAACAGTAAAAAAGCAAACCAAAATAGATAAAACTGAAATAAAAATTTATAAAACTCTATACTTATTTAAAAAACAGTAAAAAAGAAAACCAAGATAACTAAAACTGAAATAAAAATTTAGAAAACTTTATAGATATGTTTGAAAAAACAGTAAAAGTGAAACTAAACAAATAAAACAAAAAAGTTATTAAACTTTATAGACTTGTTTAAAAAAAAACATAAAACAGTAAAACAAAACAACAAACTGAAAGAAAATTTCATAAAATGTATACTTATTTAAAAAAACAGTAAAAAAGCAAACCAAAATAACTAAAACTGAAATAAGTTTTACAAATTTTTCTTTCAGTTGTTGTGTTTTGCTGTTTTATGTTTTTTTAAGCAAGTCTATAAAGATTCATAAATGTTTTGTTTTATTTGTTTAGTTTCGCTTTACTGTTTTTTCCAAACACATCTATAAAGTTTTATATATTGTTATTTCAGTTTTATTTATTTTGGTTTGCTTTTTTACTGTTTTTTTAAATAAGTATAACGTTTTATTAATTATTTCAGTTTTAGTTATTTTGGTTTGATTTTTTTACTCTTTTTACTTTTTTACTTTCTTTTACTTTTAAAAGAAAAGTTTGTTTTTTGTTTTGCTGTTTTATGTTTTTTTAAACAAGTCTATACAGTTTCATACATTTTTAGTTTTAGTTGTTTTGTTTTGCTTTTTTACTGTTTTTTTTTAAGTCTACATTTTAGTTGTTCTGTTTTACTGTTTTCTATAATTCTATAAAGTTGTATTATGTTTTATTTCAGTTTGTTGTTTTTTTTTTTACTGTTTTTAAACAAATCTAAAGATTCATAAATCTATACAATTGTATAGTTTTTAACAAGTCTATAAAGTTAATTAAAAAAATTATTTTAGTTTTAGTTGTTTTTAGTTTTTAAACAAGTCTTCAGAGTTCTATAGGTGTGAATGATATAATGCAGCTCATTAGTCGGGTGTGTGTCTGCGCAGGCGTCAGTGGGGTGTGTGGATCTGGGCCAGGTGTACTTCGAGCCGCTGAAGGACAGGCAGGGGAACGTGCTGCTGGTGACCCTGAGAGAGGTCACGACCCCGCTGACCCCGTCTGACCCCCCGCTGCACTGGGTTCCTGTCAGCACTCTGGAGAAACACCAGATCCAGACGCCAATGCTGCCCGAACCCACCGCTGTCGAGCTGCTGACCGAGAGACTCAAGGTCAGAACACACACACACACACGAAACCTATGAAACATCATTTGAAACAACTAAAACACAGCTCATCTGTCTGGTGTTTGGGTGAAATATCGCCCTCTGCTGTCAGACGTCTGTCACACCGAGAGACGGATTAACGTTAAAGAGACAGTTCACCGGAGTCATTCATCTTGACCAAATGACTTTGGACCCCATTGACTTTCATTATATGGACAGAAAAACCCCATTGAGATATTTTTCTCAAAATGTATTTTTTACATGAATAAATTATTATTAGAATGACATTTTTTTTTTTAAATGGAGCTAGTTTTTTTTTTTTTAGAGAGAATAAATGTGGGCGGGGCTTGATGTAATCATGATGAGCTGATTGGCTGGTGGAAGAGTCTGTATAGGAAGGTGGTTGATAAGAGTGTGTGTGTGTGTGTGTGTGTGCAGGAGACGCTGGCGTATCACCGCAGGAGTCAGCACAGAGCTCAGCCTGGTCTGTATGTGTGTGTCCTGAAGCTCTGCAGCTCCGTCAAGCAGCTGCGTGTCCTGGTCTCACACAGATTACCCAGCATGCCCTTCTGCTGCCGTGTCAGGAACCGGCCGCACGTCACACGGTAACACTGGAGCACTGATTCATCCACACACACTCAATGAGCATGTGGAAGTGACATGTGTGTGTGTGTGTGTGTAGGGAGGAGTGGGCGTGGCTACAGAGGCATGCAGTGGGCGGGGCCTGTGGGAGTGATGACGCTGTGATTGACAGCTCAGGTGTTGAGGACTTCGTGAAGGAACTGAGATCTGCAGTGATTCAACTCCTCACCAAACTCAACGTCCCACTGGAGCGGGTAATGAAACACCAGCAGATTCGGTTTATTGAGTGACCTGGCAACACTTAACTAACAATGAGCAATGCATTTGTTACAGTTATTATTCATATTTGTTAATGGTGGTTAACACAAATACAATATTGTTAATTGCGAGTTCAGATTCGTCCTCACTGATTGACTCACATGAACATGCTCTGTGAACCGGTTCAGATGAATCAATAACTCGTTCAAAAATAATGATTCGTTCACTGTGTTCATGTTCTGACTAAACTGATCTTCAGTGAATCTTTGAGATCAGTCTGATATGTTTCAGTTATTGGATAATTTCTGTCAATATGAAAGTAAATGGTGATGTTTTGATGAAACAACCTGAACACACAGCAGGTTCATTTGGCTACACACTCGAGTGTTAAACATGACCACTGAAGCAGTGTTAAAGTTAATGGGATAATTAAGTGAATAATTGAGTGATGATTGAGCATTATTGAAGACACCTGATGTCAACAAACACAATTTTGAGTCACCATTATGCTGATCAGTGTATACTTTAGTGTAACTGATAACAGCTAAATGAACATAGACAAAAGGTGATCTGATGATGTTTTAACATAATCATTATTTGACCTGAATCACTGAACTCATGTAGAGCCTAATCACTGTTGGTGTGTGTGTGTGTGTGTGTGTGTGTGCGCAGGCGTGTGATTACCGCGTGTACACACAGGAGCTGCTGCAGGCGGGGGATCATGTGACTCTGCTGCTGCTGCTGCCGCCCAGCGAGGACTTGAGCCGGTGGCCCCTAGAGGCCGAGGTGGAGCCGCACGGCCTCACGCTCCCACTGCACATCTTTGAGATCGGTCAGGACCTCCCAGAAGCCTCTGCTGCTCACACACACAAACACAACATCATTTGGGGAGGAGTGAAGCCATCTAATATTTCAGTTATCTGGCGGAGCACATAAGCAGCCGCTCAGCTGTTCTGGCGTCCCTCCACCTCCCCAACTCCACCTGCATAATTGCTAATATACGAATAATCTTGCAATAATCTAAAAGCCCACTCAGAAAGTGAAATAAGGCATTACATGTTACATTTTATTTCCAAAACCCATACATTTGGCATTAAATTTTCAATTTATTTTGACGTAAAATACATTTATCAGTGTATATTGTAAGGTAATGGTGTGTGTGCTGCAGTGCACCTGTGGGCGTACGAGCGTGACCTGCTGTCTCAGTTCTGTCAGCTGTGGGTCCGACTGGAGCTGGATGTCCGCCTGTCCCAGCAGGCTTTGAGGGAAGCGCTTGACAGCAGTGAAGTGACGGAGGCCACGGAGAGACTGACTCACGTCACACAGCTTACACAGGTGTGTGTGTGTGTGTGTGGGTTTACCTGCTCTCATACTCACTCACTCACTCACACTCACTCTCTTTCACTCACTCTCACTCACTCACTCACTCACTCTCACTCACTCACTCACTTACTCACTCACTCACTCACTCTCACTCACACACTTACTCACTCACTCACTCACTTACTCACTCACTCACTCACTCACTCACTCACTCACTCACTCACTCACTCACTTACTCACTCACTCACTTACTCACTCACTCACACACACACACACACTTACTCACTCACTCACTCACACTCACTCTCTTTCACTCACTCTCACTCACTCACTCACTCACTCTCACTCACTCACTCACTCACTCACTCACTCACTCTCACACACTTACTCACTCACTCACTCACTTACTCACTCACTCACTCACTCACTCACTCACTCACTTACTCACTCACTCACTTACTCACTCACTCACTCACACACACACACACTTACTCACTCACTCACTCACTCCCTCACTCACTCACACACTCACTCACTCACTCACTCACACACACACTCACTCACTCACTCACTCACACTCACTCACTTACTCTCACTCACTCACTCACTCACTCACTCACTCACTCACTTACTCACTCACTCACTCACTCTCACTCACTCACTTACTCACTTACTTGCTCACTCACTCACTCACACACTCATTCACTCACTCACTCACTCACTCACTTACTTGCTCACTTACTCACTCACACACTCATTCACTCACTCACTCACTCACTCACTCACTCACTCACTCACTCACTCTCACTCACTCACTCACTTACTTGCTCACTTAAGGCCAATTTATACTTCTGCGTCGAGGGTACGCCGTAGTGTACGGCGTTGGCTACGCACGTAGGCGACGCCGTTGTGAGCATTTATACTTCTGCGTTCAGGTCTTGGTTGCTCTGCAGTACTGCTCCGAAACGCTAGTTAGCGGCGGAGAGTTTTAATGTTCCACTGTGTTTAGATTCCTCGCGGCTAGGTTACTACGAGTGAAAGAGAGCTGATCATGTTGGAATTGGAGCTTATTAAGGTGGAAAAACAGTTCACTTTAGTGAAATTACTAAAACTGAAAGGCAGAAATGAGAGAAGACTTCGGAGGAGATGAAACTTGTGGAAATCATAGACAGTGGTGGAAAAGCGTGAGAAGGTACGTGCGGAAATGCGTAGGAGGAAATGCGATGCTACCAAGCCGACCAATCACCGATCTTGCGGTCCGCGTCGTCGCGACGTGTAGTTACATTTTTGAGGAGGTGCGCGTCAGGCGGCGGCGAAGGGTACGCGGTATGGGACGCGTCTGTGCGTATGCTACGCCGTACCTACTGCGCGCACCCTACGCAGAAGTATAAATTGGCCTTTACTCACTCACTCACTCACTCACTTACTTGCTCACTTACTCACACACTCATTCACTCACTCACTCACTCACTCACTCACTCTCACTCACTCACTCACTCACTCACTTACTTGCTCACTTACTCACTCACACACTCATTCACTCACTCACTCACTCACTCACTCACTCACTCACTCACTCACTCACTCACTTACTTGCTCACTTACTCACTCACACACTCATTCACTCACTCACTCACTCACTCGCTCACTTACTCACTCACTCACTTACTCGCTCACTTACTCACACACTCACTCACTCACTCACTCACTCACTCACTTACTTACTCACACACTCACTCACTCACTCACTCACTCACACACACACACACACACACACACACACACACACACATACACTCTCCCTCTCACAGACGTGTCACTCACAGGTGTGTGTGTGTGTGTAGGGTTTGTCTGCGCTGTGGAGAGAGCGCCGCTGGCTGATGGACGTCATTCACACACTTCGCTCCAAGAGCTCTGAGGGGGTGGTGCCTCTGGGACGTGTCATGACCTCGCGACCACCAATCAGATCAGCTGCGGCGGCGGAGGACACGCCTCTTACACACACTCTCAGCACAGGTGAGAACAGTGACAACAGATGATTCTGCTCCAGTGATGAAAACACCCATCCGTGATTCATAAACTGCTTCATCAGCAGCAGAACGATCAGTGTGTTATGATGATCGATGATCAGTGTTTGCTTTAGTTGAGCTCTTGACTCTTGAAGTTTGCCCACATTTTTTTCTGGCTGCTGTAATTGAGTGTTTACTCAATATATATAAATGTATTTGTTATGGTATAAAAGCCAAGAAAAATTATAATTGGGTGTTAATGGTTAAAGATTGATGATGAAAAACATCATTTAGTGACCTAATTCACTGATTTTCTGATCTCTGATTAAATGGGTGATGGTCCTATTAATTTATTCATTATTGTAAAGTGCGATTCTACAGCATAAGTGTGCCCATCGGATTATATGAAGGATTTTACAAACAGTGTGTGAACAAACAGTTTTCATCTAGGCATTACTAAGACTAATACAGACATCAATAATCAGCATATGAATCTCAACAATGGTGACCATAAACATATTATTCATTTTTAGTTAGTGTTTATATTGATTTCATTTCAATTTTTTTTTCATTTGAGATTTTGATGATTTATTCATTTTTTACCAAGTACTTATACTTTGATAGTTTTTATTTTAAAATGTTTTAATTTTACATTTCAATAATTTATTGTTTTTCATGAACTCTGCAGGTCTGTTGTTCATATATTTATTATATTTACTCATACATTTCGAAACGTCTTTTTGTTGTAAAATGATCAAAAGAAACAGTCAGTCTTCAAGCTTTCAGTTACTGAATCACACAGACAGAAGCTGATCATCATAATAAAGGTTAAAGGTCAAGAAATTCAAGTTTAAACACTTAAATACTAATCAAGAATGTTATGTTTGCATTATTTTCAGTAGAAGGCGAAGCTCCGTCTTGCTCTCATCAACCTGAAGGGTCAGAGGTGAAATACAGGGTCCCCACCTCACCCTGCTCCAATGGTAACGACCCTGAGGTCCCCGTGACCCCTGCGGCTGAAGGTCACGACCTGTCGTCGGAGATAATGGACCTGTTCGAGTGTCTGGATCTGCTGGGAGGGAGTCTGTCAGATCTGGACCTGCAGGATCCAGAACAGGCCCTGTCAGACGAGGACTGCACCGCTCCGCTCACGGGACGTCCCGTCAGGAGCCTGGTGGAGTGGGTCAAAGGTCACCACACTCTCTGATGGAGGAGCCAATCAATAATCACAGTCAACACAGATCCGATATAATATATATTTAATAATATTATCATAAAAGATTATTATTATAAATCAGCAGCAGACTGAAGATCATCACTGAATGTGCAGAAAAGCATCCGTTACAGAACCTCAGAACTTTATTTTTACTGTATATTTATATTGATATAGGTCTGTTTATGTCTCATGATGACTGTTATGGTAAATAAATGTCTTCTCTGTGAACAGATCTTGTTAAAAAAACAAGTGTTGCTTTGTTTTCCTTAAAGTTGTTTTATTTAATATCAGAACAAGTTAGAAACTAAATGGACTCGAATGATTACTGTAAAAACTTGCATAAATAAAAATAAAAACTGTAGTAAAAAAAAAAAAAAGCAAATAGCCTCCAAACTACAGTATACTCTTGTTTTAACGGGTCAAATATGGAGAAATCCTGCTGTTGGGTAGGGTTATATTTTTAAATTAAAAATTGTACCCAAAATTGGGTTAAACAACCCAGCACATTTGCACAACCCAGCACAACCCAGTGTGTATAATAAATGCATAACAGCAAATATAAACATGAAACACATAAAATGTGATGATTCTGAAGTTAGAAAAGATGACTGATATTTTCAAGATGATTCCGATCGCATGACGGGCGCGCGCGTTGGACGGTGTGAGGTACAGAATTGCTTGTGCTTGTGAGTGTTTGTCTCTTTAAGTACAGAGTCTGTCGTCTGTGGGAAATATGGCGGAATCAGGCGAATCTTCAGCTGCTGGTGAGTGGAAATAAACCCAGAATAACTCAGTAAAATGACGCAGAATGAGCGCGTGTGTTTAACTGAACTCATGCTAGATTCATGTCTCACTGCAGGACGGGTAAAGGGACACGGACTTATCTGAGTTACAGTCATGTCGTACACAGCATTAATAATGATCGTAAATATAACTGAGAACTCTAATCTCTATGTGGAAATCGTGTGAAATCCTTGTGGCAGAAATGTCATTAGGAATCCTGAGAAGAAAAAAGTCTTATTGCAGTCCCCCTGTTTGTTTATTTACTTGTTTTATTATTTAATTATATTTTATTTAAATCATATTTTATTTATTTTAATCAAATGAGTGAATGTATTTAATTTAAACAATTTATAGAAAATCAAAAGTATTTATTTTAACCATTTTTTTTATTTTAATCAGATATTTATGTATTTACACACAATTTTGTTTATTCGAATAATTTTAAATCAAGTGTATTTATTTAAATCAAGGTTTATTTATTTTGATCAAATGTATGAATGTGCTATTTATAATTCATTTTAGTCAATACATTTTTAAATCAAAAGTATTTGAACCCATAAGCACACCACCCCCACATTCAAAATCGATTTTCAAGAAGAAAAAAAAAAAGACAAATACCTGGGGAAAATAAATGCAGAACATGTTCACATTGGACACTAACACATGCATGCATGAACCTTTCAGAAAAATGTGGCCACAAATGGGTTAATCGCGGTTTATGAATTTTAATCAAATATATCTTTATGTTACACACAATTTTGTTTATTGGAATCATATTTTAATCAAATGTATTTATTTATTACTTATGTAAAACATTTTTAAATGTTTCAAGATGTATTTATGTTTTATTTTATTTTAATTATTTTATTTTATTTTATTTGACAGTTTTTACTCGTTTTTTCTCCAATTTTTTTTTCTTTTTTACTTCTTCTTCTTCTTTTTTTTTTTAAATACCTTGCTTATATCATATTGTGCCTGTTGACCTCAGCCGGTTCTGAGCTGCGGATGGTTCTGTTGGGTCGGACGGGTTCCGGCAAGAGTTCGGCTGGAAACACCATCCTGGGCCGATCCGCGTTCTGGACTGACGCCTCGCCCGTGTCCGTGACAAGCCGCTGCCAGCGCGCGGGGGGCGTGTCTGATGGGCGGAGTCTGCGGGTTATTGACACCCCGGGGTTCTTCCACACCTGCTTGAGCCCAGATGAGGTCCGTGTGGAGCTGAGCCGGTGTGTGGATCTGTCGACGCCCGGACCGCACGTGTTCCTGCTGTTGCTGCGCACCGGGCCGGTGACGCGCGAGTGCCGCGCCGCACTCGACTGGATCCGAGCCGCGTTCGGGCCGCAGGCGCTCCGGTTCACCGTGGTTCTGATCACCTGGGGCGACGCACTTGGGTCGAAACCAGCCGAGGACTTCCTGAAGGAGAGCACGGAATTATGGGAGTTTGTGTGCGAGTGTGCGGGCGGCTTCCACGTGTTTGACAACACTAAAGGTAGCCTATTCTACCACATAAATAACTGGTGACACTGAACTAATTAGGTAGCCTAATGACTAATAATTAATTATACAATATAAATATATCCAACTTTTTTCGCATAGGCTACATTACTCACATAAAGCATTAACGTTACACTCTAGCAGTAAATCTCAACTGCTTGACTGAATGTTACAAAATCTATATTATGTAATAGTTATTGTATAAAGTTGGACATAAGTATCTCTCAGCTCCATATATAAAAGTTGGACATATATAAGTATCGCTCAGCTCTCTATACAAAAGTTGGGCATATATCTCAAAGCTCTATATAAAAAGTTAAATAAGTATTGCTCAGCTCATATACAAAAGTTGGACATATAAGTATCACAAAGCTCTTTATATAAAGTTGGACATATATAAGTATCTCACAGCTCTATATATGGAGTTCAATAAGTATCGCTCAACTCTATACAAAAGTTGGACATATAAGTATCGCAAAGCTTTTTATATAAAGTTGGACATATATAAGTATCTCACAGCTCTATACAAAAGCTGGATATATATAAGTATTCCGAGTTTCTCCAGAGTAATCCAGAGTTTCAAGAAGATCAGAGAAACTCAAAATTTCGAACCCCCCCCCCAAAAAAAAAAAAACCCGACAGTGTTACCCCTGTGGGTTTTTTTTTTCGGGCGAAAAAAATAAGTTTCTCCAATCTTCTCAAAACTCTGGATTATGATAGAGGGCTGTGAGACTTAGACCTGAGCGCAAAAATGGAGGCTCTAGACCCTTCCAGAGCTGAGATATCGAAACTCAAAATTTCGACCCGAAAAAAAAAAAACGACAGTGTTACCCCTTTCGTTTTTTTAATTTTCGGGCGAAAAATTAAGTTTCTCCAATCTTCTCAAAACTCTGGATTATGATAGAGGGCTGTGAGACTTTGACCTGAGTGCAAAAATGGAGGCTCTAGACCCTTCCAGAGCTGAGATATCGAAACTCAAAATTTCGACCCGAAAAAAAAAAAACGACAGTGTTACCCCTTTCGTTTTTTTTAATTTTCGGGCGAAAAATTAAGTTTCTCCAATCTTCTCAAAACTCTGGATTATGATAGAGGGCTGTGAGACTTTGACCTGAGCGCAAAAATGGAGGCTCTAGACCCTTCCAGAGCTGAGATATCAAAATTCAAAATTTCGACCCGAAAAAAAACGACAGTGTTACCCCTTTCATTTTTTTCATTTTTGGGCGAAAAATTAAGTTTCTCCAATCTTCTCAAAACTCTGGATTATGATAGAGGGCCGTGAGACGTTGACCTGAGCGCAACAATGGAGGCTCTAGACCCTTCCAGAGCTGAGATATCGAAACTCAAAATTTCGACCCGAAAAAAAAAAACGACAGTGTTACCCCTTTCGTTTTTTTTCATTTTCGGGCGAAAAATTAAGTTTCTCCAATCTTCTCAAAACTCTGGATTATGATAGAGGGCTGTGAGACTTTGACCTGAGTGCAAAAATTGAGGCTCTAGACCCTTCCAGAGCTGAGATATTAAAATTCAAAATTTCGACCCGAAAAAAAAATGACAGTGTTACCCCTTTCGTTTTTTTTTTCATTTTCGGGCGAAAAATCAAGTTTCTCCAATCTTCTAAAAACTCTGGATTATGATAGAGGGCCGCGAGACTTTGACCTGAGCGCAAAAATGGAGGCTCTAGACCCTTCCAGAGCTGAGATATCGAAACTCAAAATTTCGACCCGAAAAAAAAAAACGACAGTGTTACCCCTTACGTTTTTTTTTCGTTTTTGGGCGAAAAATCAAGTTTCTCCAATCTTCTCAAAACTCTGGATTATGGTAAAGGGCCGCGGGACTTTGACCTGAGCGCAAAAATGGAGGCTCTAGACCCTTCCAGAGCTGAGATATCGAAACTCAAAATTTCGACCCGAAAAAAAAAAACGACAGTGTTACCCCTTACGTTTTTTTCCGTTTTCGGGCGAAAAATCAAGTTTCTCCAATCTTCTCAAAACTCTGGATTATGATAGAGGGCCGCGAGACTTTGACCTCAGCGCAAAAATGGAGGCTCTAGACCCTTCCAGAGCTGAGATATCGAAACTCAAAATTTCGACCCGAAAAAAAAACGACAGTGTTACCCATTACGTTTTTTTTTCGTTTTTGGGCGAAAAATCAAGTTTCTCCAATCTTCTCAAAACTCTGGATTATGATAGAGGGCTGTGAGACTTTGACCTGAGTGCAAAAATGGAGGCTCTAGACCCTTCCAGAGATGAGATATCGAAATTCAAAATTTCGACCCGAAAAAAAAACGACAGTGTTACCCCTTTCGTTTTTTTTCATTTTCGGGCAAAAAATTAAGTTTCTCCAATCTTCTCAAAACTCTGGATTATGATAGAGGGCTGTGAGACTTTGACCTGAGTGCAAAAATGGAGGCTCTAGACCCTTCCAGAGCTGAGATATCGAAACTCAAAATTTCGACCCGAAAAAAAAAAACGACAGTGTTACCCCTCTCGTTTTTTTTTAATTTTTGGGCAAAAAATTAAGTTTCTCCAATCTTCTCAAAACTCTGGATTATGATAAAGGGCCGCGGGACTTTGACCTGAGCGCAAAAATGGAGGCTCTAGACCCTTCCAGAGCTGAGATATCGAAACTCAAAATTTCGACCCGAAAAAAAAAACGACAGTGTTACCCCTTACGTTTTTTTTTCGTTTTCGGGCGAAAAATCAAGTTTCTCCAATCTTCTCAAAACTCTGGATTATGATAGAGGGCCGCGAGACTTTGACCTGAGCGCAAAAATGGAGGCTCTAGACCCTTCCAGAGCTGAGATATCGAAACTCAAAATTTCGACCCGAAAAAAAAACGACAGTGTTACCCTTACGTTTTTTTTCGTTTTTGGGCGAAAAATCAAGTTTCTCCAATCTTCTCAAAACTCTGGATTATGATAGAGGGCTGTGAGACTTTGACCTGAGTGCAAAAATGGAGGCTCTAGACCCTTCCAGAGCTGAGATATCGAAATTCAAAATTTCGACCCGAAAAAAAAACGACAGTGTTACCCTTTCGTTTTTTTTTCATTTTCGGGCGAAAAATAAGTTTCTCCAATCTTCTCAAAACTCTGGATTATGATAGAGGGCTGTGAGACTTTGACCTGAGTGCAAAAATGGAGGCTCTAGACCCTTCCAGAGCTGAGATATCGAAACTCAAAATTTCGACCGAAAAAAAAAAAACGACAGTGTTACCCCTTCGTTTTTTTCATTTTTGGGCGAAAAATAAGTTTCTCCAATCTTCTCAAAACTCTGGATTATGATAGAGGGCTGTGAGACTTTGACCTGAGTGCAAAAATGGAGGCTCTAGACCCTTCCAGAGCTGAGATATCGAAACTCAAATTTCGACCCGAAAAAAAAACGACAGTGTTACCCCTTACGTTTTTTTTTCATTTTCGGGCGAAAAATCAAGTTTCTCCAATCTTCTCAAAACTCTGGATTATGATAGAGGGCCGCGAGACTTTGACCTGAGCGCAAAAATGGAGGCTCTAGACCCTTCCAGAGCTGAGATATCGAAACTCAAAATTTCGACCCGAAAAAAAAAACGACAGTGTTACCCCTTACGTTTTTTTCGTTTTCGGGCGAAAAATCAAGTTTCTCCAATCTTCTCAAAACTCTGGATTATGATAGAGGGCCGCGAGACTTTGACCTGAGCGCAAAAATGGAGGCTCTAGACCCTTCCAGAGCTGAGATATCGAAACTCAAAATTTCGACCCGAAAAAAAAACGACAGTGTTACCCCTTACGTTTTTTTTTCATTCGGGCGAAAAATCAAGTTTCTCCAATCTTCTCAAAACTCTGGATTATGATAGAGGGCCGCGAGACTTTGACCTGAGCGCAAAAATGGAGGCTCTAGACCCTTCCAGAGCTGAGATATCGAAACTCAAAATTTCGACCCGAAAAAAAAAACACAGTGTTACCCCTTACGTTTTTTTTCATTTTCGGGCGAAAAATCAAGTTTCTCCAATCTTCTCAAAACTCTGGATTATGATAGAGGGCCGCGAGACTTTGACCTGAGCGCAAAAATGGAGGCTCTAGACCCTTCCAGAGCTGAGATATCGAAACTCAAAATTTCGACCCGAAAAAAAAACGACAGTGTTACCCCTTACGTTTTTTTTCGTTTTCGGGCGAAAAATCAAGTTTCTCCAATCTTCTCAAAACTCTGGATTATGATAGAGGGCCGCGAGACTTTGACCTGAGCGCAAAAATGGAGGCTCTAGACCCTTCCAGAGCTGAGATATCGAAACTCAAAATTTCGACCCGAAAAAAAACGACAGTGTTACCCCTTACGTTTTTTTTTCGTTTTCGGGCGAAAAATCAAGTTTCTCCAATCTTCTCAAAACTCTGGATTATGATAGAGGGCCGCGAGACTTTGACCTGAGCGCAAAAATGGAGGCTCTAGACCCTTCCAGAGCTGAGATATCGAAACTCAAAATTTCGACCCGAAAAAAAAACGACAGTGTTACCCTTACTTTTTTTTCGTTTTCGGGCGAAAAATCAAGTTTCTCCAATCTTCTCAAAACTCTGGATTATGATAGAGGCCGCGAGACTTTGACCTGAGCGCAAAAATGGAGGCTCTAGACCCTTCCAGAGCTGAGATATCGAAACTCAAAATTTCGACCCGAAAAAAAAAACGACAGTGTTACCTTTCGTTTTTTTCATTTTTCGGGCGAAAAATTAAGTTTCTCCAATCTTCTCAAAACTCTGGATTATGATAGAGGGCTGTGAGACTTTGACCTGAGTGCAAAAATGGAGGCTCTAGACCCTTCCAGAGCTGAGATATCGAAACTCAAAATTTCGACCCGAAAAAAAAAACACAGTGTTACCCCTTACGTTTTTTTTTCATTTCGGGCGAAAAATCAAGTTTCTCCAATCTTCTCAAAACTCTGGATTATGATAGAGGGCCGCGAGACTTTGACCTGAGCGCAAAAATGGAGGCTCTAGACCCTTCCAGAGCTGAGATATCGAAACTCAAATTTCGACCCGAAAAAAAAAACGACAGTGTTACCCC